TTCAGTGATTCCCCCCAGAAGGGCTCACAGAACCCAGAAAAGCTGTTATATTCATGGTTATGGTGTATTATAGTGAACATATACAGATTAAATCCACAAAGGCAAAGGCACAGAGGGCCAGGTATAGAAGAGACTAGACACAGTGGAATCATAGAAATGGGACTTATTTCTCCCAGAAATGACATGTGACAACACATCTATAGTGTGTCCAACAAGAGAAGCTCACAAAACCTTGGTATCCAGGGTTTTTATTGGGGATCGGTCATGTTGCCAGGGGGGATCCATCTGACACACCTTAGTTACTCAATCTCCAGCCCCTTCAAAGACCACACTGATATACGGTAGCCCAAGGACCCCACCATAAATCCTATTGTTACATAAACTATCTGGCATCTACAAAGGCACTCTAATCAGGCAAGATATTCCAAGGCTTAGAGGTAATCTCTCAAGAGCTGGGTAAGGGCCAGACTTCTCTTTGGAATGTGCAAGATTTGGGCATCCTAAGCCTGCTGAATTAACCCGACACTGCATGTGGGATCTCATGGCAGAGCCCCACGACAGTACAGAATCCAGCTCGAAGCAATTATTCCCTACAACTCACCCCTGAACTGCCAGGATGGATGAACAGTCCACACTCAAGACTTCAACGCTCCTTGGATATCCAGGCTCTGTAATCAAGTGTAACTCATGGAGAGTCCACCTTTCCTTAACGTGAATTCTATCTTAGAGACCTCTTTTATTATTTAGCACCTGCCAGGTCCTGCTGATCTGCACTGGCATATTTTCAAAACCCAGCCACAAAGAAAATTGAGACCGTTTCACAGAAAGCCCCTCAGTTCCCACCTAAAATAGAAGATGGAAACAATTACCACTGAATGTACCTAAATCTCCACTCAGGATCAGAGGAATTTAATAGTGTTTGGAAGCTTTTACTATATAAGAGAGATAGGGGTGTGTGTGTGTGTGTGTGTGTGCGTGTGTGTGCGCGCGCGCGCGCGCGTGTGAAGAATACTTGAATCAAGTCAAGCTTACTAAGAATTTACATTCCTTGGAACCATTTTCCAGGCAATTAAACCAAAAATGGGAAGGTCAATCAGTACAAACAGACATGTTTCAGACATATCAGAAAATAGTATTTTCTAACCTATTGCCACAATTAACTTTCCAGGCCTGAAAACCCGAGGAGAGAGAAAATACGACTGGATACTTACTTAAATCTAACATAAAAATTCATCTTCCAGACATAAAACTCATTCCTCCCTTCCTCCTCACCTCCAATATCGATTTTTCTTAAAGTCTGAAGATAAGAACTCAAGGAAACACACACTGGCATCACAATTAACTGAATGGTGATTATACATCAGGTTTATAGATCACTTTCGAATTTGAATATACAGATACGTAACAAAACATCGATCTTCACAAAACCCTAGAAGATAAGTGTGATGACCATTTACAGATCAAGAGTCAGACCCAGAGATGTTACCTGTCTTGTCCTTGGTCTCACGGCAATTAAGCGACAGTATGGGACTTGGACTCAGGTCTCCAAACTGCCAATCCAATGCTTTCCCCACCCAACACACTACCTTAGGAATTTGACAAGGATTTCAAAAACTTCAATGCCTTGAACTTTATTCCACAAAAGGTTATTTTACATAAAATGTTTTAAAACATGTGGAAAGACATAGAAACTAATAGATATATGGGGCACCTGGGTGGCTTGGTCCGTTGGGTGACCGACTTCGGCTCAGATCATGATCTCACAGTTTGTGGGTTTGAGCCCCATGTGCTGTGCTGACAGCTCAGAGCCTGGAGCCTGCTTCAGATTCTGTGTCTCCCTCTCTCTCTGTCCCTTCCTGCTGGTGTTCTCTCTCTCTCTCTCTCTCTCTCTCAAAAATAAATAAAAATTTAAAAATTAAAATAAAATAAAAATAAATAATAAAAGAAACAAATAGATATACACTTCTTTTCTTCAACATGGACCTAAAATGCTTTATGCCACCAATCAACATGAAATGAACAAAGAGTAAATTATATTCATTTCATTAAGAAGAATTTACTAAGGCAAAGACTGAATGCTTGTAAAGTGTGACTGTCCAAGAGTCATAGGAAAATTGGTAGATTTCATGGGAGTTTTTGCTTAATTGTAACTTTCACCAAGCTTGTTTCATAGTGAGCATCTCAAAGCAAAGCTGGCGGAATCAGAATTCACAATAAGAAGTATCACTCACTAAAAAGATCGAAATTTTAATTTCAAAAAGCTGCTTTAACACCTCTTTCTCTCTTTCTCTCTCTCTCTCTCTCTCTCTCTCTCTCTCTCTCTCTCACACACACACACACACACAGAGGGAGAGGTTCTTTCTTTCCCAAAGCAAGGAAATATTACAAAACATAAAATATCTAATGATCATTTTTAAACTGCTGCAAAGGGACAGAATTTAAGGTGGGAACACTGAGTTTCATGTGTAAGGGATCCTAGAAACAAGGAGATCCATGGTTTTTACTCATAAACTTCATTTGTTTCAGGATTGATCCCTTTCAGGCTAGGCTCTCTTCAAGGTACATGGGTAGTTGGGGACATCCACTTAGAGACTCTCAGTGAAGGGTCACCACGAAGAGAGCACATCAGCAGTCAGCATTTGATGTAGTGAAATGAGTGTTGCATGGACTCCAGAGACCCTGGCTCCAACCCTAGTTTTTGCACCAACAAATTGTATTATATAAAGGAAAACAGCTTTTTTTTTTTTAGTTTTATGAAGTTTTTAATTTTAATTCCAGTGTAGTTAACATAGTGTTATATCAGTTTCAGGTGTACAATATAGCAGTTCAACACTTCCATAGATCACCTGGTGCTCATCACGACAGGTGCATCCTTAATCCCCTTCACCTATTTCACCCACTTCCCTCCCATCTGGTGACCACTAGTTTGTTCTCTACAGTTAGGAGTCTGTTTCTGGGTTTATCTCTCTCTCTCTCTCTCTCTCTCTCTCTCTCTCTCTCTCTCTCTCTTTTTCCTTTGCTCATTTGTTTTGGGAAAACATAATTTTAGATCTTCAGTTTCCTTCTCTGTGAAATGTCCTGACTGCCTGTCACAACTCTAATAATTATTTGATTACGTTGATATGTACAAGTGTGGTTGAAAACAGCAAATATGATGTGGAAATGCAAGTATGAATAGCAGAAGAGATCAGACAAGACAATGATGTCTTATTTAAAGGAGCAAAAAGCCTTGAATCTGATGAATCATGAGAACAAACTTGTGAAAAATGATACTTAATGCAGATTAAGGATAGTGGTGTAGGTGTAAGTATAGGTTTCCATGGTGATAAACACACCTACAGTTAAGGCAGTGTCATGAAGTAAAGACTGGAGGTTACAATGGTAGGCTTTTCCCACGTGAAAAGCATACCATCTGGAACCTCAGTTCCCAGGATAGAGCATAAACAAGCCACTGATTTGAAAATTGAAATAAATAGAGATTTGGTCCAGCCAGAGAAGAGCAAATATTATCCAGTAATTATAGAATGAAGGAGTCAAGCAAGAAACCTACCACTCCTCAACCTTTCTTCTAGGTAATAGTTTTGTAGGATTTTTAAAATTAAAAAATAGTGCATTGCAACATATACCTAATATTGCTTTCTGATTTTTTTAGGTAACTGGTTCTAGGGATTAAAATCTCAGAAGTTTTTTTAAATGGGTAAAGACATAATGGTTATTGAATCCATCAATTTGTCGTTAAAAGCAAAAGCAATCTTCTGTTCAAAGGGGGTTGTAGGGGCGCCTGGGTGGCTCAGTCAGTTAAGTGTTGAACTCTTGATTTTGGCTCAGGTCATGGGATCAGGTTCCATGTTGGGCTTTGTGCTGCATGTGAAGCATGCTTGGGATTTTCTCTCTCTCTCTCTCTCTCTCTTCTCCTACTTACATGTGCTCTCTCTCTCTCTAAAAAAAGAAAAGAAAAGAAAAGAAAAAAGAAAGAAAGAGAAGGGGAAGGTTGTATACCAAGAGGGTTTTTTAAATAAATCTTTCTACTTAGCTAACACATTTCATACTTGCTGTATGCCAAGAGCATACTTACTCTTAGTTCTTTATAATGATACCTTGTTCAATCCTCATGGTAACTCTATGGGGTAGGAACTGTTGTCTTCACTTTACAAATGGGAAAACCAGTGTACAAAGATGTTAAGTAACTTCCTCAAGGCCACACAGCTGGTAAATAGCCAGATAATAAATGGGGAGCTGGAAGTACAAAACTGTGGCTCCAAGATTCTTTAGGCATCATGCCATTCTGACCTTTTGAAACTTGAATACATCTTCCTTCAGAAACAATGTTATAAATAACTATAAAGTTCCACCATAGCCCATTTTAACCACCTGTAGCTGAGCTGAAATTCTGTAGTACCTGTCAAAGAATAAGCGCTCAATAAATGTTTGTTGAATTTAGTAGAGAACAGATACCCACCTATGACATTAGCACTGGAGGACAGCATAAAGCCCCAACAGCAGGAACATGGATGTTCTCCTCTCCAGCATCTCCTACATCAGTCCTAACAGTTGGTGGTGAAAAGGAAATTGGGAGATGGGGCCTTATGGAGGTGGCACAGGTCTCTGGAAGCAAATGACAGATGGGGTCTTGATTTTGGCAGCGGGGCTACAGCAAAGAACTTCGGCAGCAAAACTGCGAGAGAATCGGTTACTGTCACTGGGTAGCACAATATGGTTACACGTCTATGACAGAAGATGGTATGAAGTGCATAGTAAGGGGACAAGTGAGCTTGTAGGACTCAGCTACATAGAGACTGGGTTTCTAAGTAGGGCAGCTATTTGCATTCAATGAACGATGATACATCAGCCACCAGCAACCAAGAGTCTACAACTAGGTCAAACACTGGGACAGCAAATAATCTCTATTGTTTTTCAGTGGGGAAAAAAAAAGTAAATTATTTTTCTGATATGTTCTCAACCTTGTGAAAATTACGTAAGAGAAGACTTGCTGTGATCACATAAAATACAACAAAAATTATACACAAGTTCTCTAAGATCAGGGACTGTGATTGGTCAATTTCATTCCCAAGACCTAGCAGGGTGGTCTTTGCAAGAAGCAGTTAATAACTGATAAGGTAGCAGAATTCTCGCAACAGAGAGTTGTGGCACTGAGGCTTTTTATCCAGGAAGCAACTTTTATTCGTGCCAGCACTGCTCAGTTGGGTTCATACCCAAAGAACTGAGCACTGAACAACACATGGCATCGTTTTTTTATACCTTTTCTATTTCTTTGTCTCCCATATATGGTAACACACATAAACATGCAGTCTGGTTAAGTCGTCTCAGTTTACAAGGTCATGAGGGATGTTGTCACGTAGGTGCATAGCCAGGTTACCTTGAAGTTTTCTCTTCCTTTTTTCTCTCTCCTTAGGGAGGGGACCCTAGCACAATACAAGTTGACTTATTACTGCTATGTGTAAAATATAAACTAACAAGATAATAATAGAATGATAAATTAGAGGATGATAAATTATAGAATGATAAAAACAGAAAATATTAGAATAAATAGAATAATTGATAAATGAATATAGTAATAGATTGAATAATAAACAACAGAATCAAGAGTGAATACAAATATCCCCCACTTTTTGAAAATTCATTGTTATACCACTTCGCTTTTATGAAAGACGCATGTTTGTACCTGACTTTGCTAACTGAAAGAATTCCAAAGAGGATTCCGCTTTCACAAAAGCATGAAAGGAAAGACAAGTCTGTATCAAGAAAATAATATACAGTGAGAAGCAAAACAAAATTGAAAGAAAACATTTTAAACCTTAATAACGCATGGTCAAAATCCATTCCAACACCAAGGGGAATCTGTGCAGCTCGCCAGCCCAAAGGACTCCAGATTTGGGCTACCCAATTTCTATCTCGTCTTACCTACAGTTTGGCGCCACCCACTGGCAGCTGTCTACTTGTCCAAAATCAAGAGAAGATTCTGGAACCAGCCAGCTTCCAAGAAAGCAATAATTCCAGGAATCCACAGCCCGTTTTGCTTGCCTGACTGATCCTCAGCCTTCTATTCCCCAAACACCCCTTCCCTAACCACAGCCCCTCAACCGTGCCTGTCTACCTGCCACACCTCCCCATCTCAGCCCAGAAGATATGAACTTAACCCACCTTCTTGGAGGCTGGATGCAGCAGGGGAGTCAACAGCCAATCACTTTGCGTCTAAATTTTCAGCAATACCACATGGTACCAGGAATTTTCACTGTCCTTGTCACATATGACTGTCCAAGGGCTGATGTCCCCAGTACATTAAATTCATGAACAGATCCATAAGTAAAAGATAACCATCATGATAAGAAATGGATACATGATACACATAAGCAATTCATACAATATGAATGGCCAAACAAGCATTAAAAAGTGCCCCATGCCCAACATCTCTAGTATTCAGAGAAAGACATCAAAACAGGACCATTTTTGTTTCATGATCATACCCATTTCAGCAAGGATGTAGGGAAAAGGCACTAACAGATTGCTGGATAGAGTGTAAATTGGCAAAACCATCAAGAGAACAATTCAGCAACAGGAATCAAAGACCTTTAAGAAAAGAGTAAATGTTCTTAGAACCTGCAGTTTCATTCCTGGAAATTTATCCTTAAATACTCATATTGTATGCCCATTCCTCCCAGCAGTGTCTAATCATAGTAAAAAAATCAGACATAATAAAATATCCCACAACAAAACATCAACAGACTGTCACAAAACACCCATCAAGGTCCACTGAAGGAAAGTTGTGCAGCCAATAAGAATGTTCGAGTTGGTGTATTGGCCTGAAAAGGTGTCAGTCATTTTTTGAGAAATGAAAAGTAGAGTTTCAATTTTTTTTGTAAGAAAACAATCATTCATGAATTACATACATGCTTATTAAAAATCTGAAAGAATGTACATCAAAATGTTAAAAGTGGCTACTTGTGGGTAGTGAGAATATGAGTGATTTTTATTTTCTGCTCTGTGTTTATATGCACTTTCCGATTTTTATGAAATAAACATGTATCACTTGTACAATTTTAAAATCTTAAATGCAAAGAAAAACCATCTGTATATTTGAGTGTTTTTGCAATGAATAGGCTCCTTTTTTTAATTTTTAAGGAAAAATAAAAAAATAGCTAAGTGGTGTAAATGTGGTAGAAACTGTAAGAACAAAAGAAAGAAGCAGCATGGGGGGAGGTGGGGAAGCTGGTAAATTAGAAGGTGGTAGGTGGAGCCAGAAAAGCATTCTAGAAGAGGCAGGTCTTGAAAGGTAATAAAATTTGAATACATGGAGAGAAGAAAATAGGGCATAGTTTGGGTCCTTGGCTCCAGGACTAATCATGTCAATGTGCTTCTAGAAACATTTAGTCACTCACAATGAATAGGTCACTGGCTAGTACATAAACGTCACCCTGCAGCCCTTCTCAGAAATATTTATGTCTGCTCTGTACCCTGGACTCACTGCCGAACACCACTGTGGGAAAGACACGGGGTTACTCAGTACCCTTCAACCACAGTTCTATGGACGCCCAGTTCCTCTGTCTTCTTCCAGGGCACAGACACCAGAGAAGAAAGAGAATTGCTTTCTAGGGCTTTCTCCTCACTCAATATGGCTCCCACATCAGAGCTAAATAAATCCCATCCCTTCCTTCCCTCCCTGGAAAGATCTTTTGTCATAGCCTATGCTCCCATGAACCCATTGTGTGGATTCCCTCCACACTCTGGTAACCCTACTGGGTGTCCCCCTAGGTCCTAACCCCACAACCAACCCTACCAAACCTGGCTCAGAGTTGTGAGCTCTCTACTCAGACTTGCCTTGTTCCATGAGCCATTCTCATTCCAGGCCACAGCTCTGCCATGGTTTCTAGACAGCCTGCCTTCCTGGGGTGAATCCTGTGCCCTTTCTCCCCCAGCATGCCTTGGGGCCAATGCAGGTAGCCTGTCAGCCTGAGCCTGCCACAGTCCCTGCCCCTGGAATGAGCCTTGACTGAACTGGTCTGATGGGCACTGATATCACTCACAGGATAGTATAATTTGTCTAAATACTAGAAAGATCTCCAAGTGTGTTGCCATTGACTAGTATATGGTATTCTCTTATAATTATTTTAATATTTTCTGTACCACCATTGTGTCTCCTATCTCATTTCTAATCTTGTAGATTTCGATTCCTTCTCTCTTTGCTTTAATCAGGCTCGCAAAGAGGTTGTCTATTTTTTTCAATTTTTTTTTAACGTTTATTCATTTTTGAGAGACAGAGAGAGACGGAGCATGAGCGGGGAAGGGGCAGAGGGAGGGAGACACAGAATCCCAAGCTGGCTCCAGGCTCTGAGCTGTCAGCACAGAGCCCGAAGCAGGGCTTGAACTCACGAACTGCGAGATCAGGATGTGAGCCAAAGTTGGACACTTAACCACTGAGCCACCCAGGAGGCCCAAGAGGTTGTCTATTTTGACCAAGGGCTCCCAGTAGCCCATTTCTATCCTTTGCTTTGTCTTGACCAAACTCTACTTAGGCTTCTCTCTTTCCTAGTTACATGTAGGAAAGAGAGAAGCCAACTAGAACTGATCAGTTGTAACTCAGATCAGAAAACGTTGCCTTGGAAGAATTCCTGTGCAAACAAGCATCCTCTTCCTCCATCAGCTGCCCTGAACAAGTCTTCCCTTAGGGCCCAGTTAAGGAGGACCTCTAACTCAGATTAATTGTGTCTATTCTGATCTCCCATTTGCCACAATCTCTATCCAATAAGCAGTACTCTCTACCCAGTTCTTAAGTGCAAACACTGAACTTTTGCAGCCTATGCTTTAGTAACAAAAATCCCTCCTCATTTGTAATATAAAACATTTCCTAAATCTGACCGTGAGGTAATTCACCAAACCCAATTGCTAAATATTAGAGCTTGAAGGGAACTTGGAAATTATATAGCCCAATAGAATAGTTTTACCGATGGAGATACTGTGGCCTCATCTAGAGACATCCAAAGAACTGAAATTTGAGGACTGTTTTTATAAAATTTTGCTACAGTCCTGGGTGGGAAGAGATCAGAGGACGTGGACAGGTAAAGATTTCCCCTGAACCCACGGGATCAAATATCACCCATTCCTTTGCTATGAAACAATGACTTTACTACTGGGATTCCTTGACTGAAGGTCTGCAGCTTTTCTGAGATCAGAAGGCCAAGAAGATTGAGGGGTCGGGTTCAGAGAGACAGAGGGGAGAACACCCAGCAGATTGACTTCACAATGGAAAGAGACACAGAAGGCTGGGCCTTGCTGCCTGTATTACAGTCTGGGTTATACATGTCTGTGGGTTCTCTGAATAGAAGGCTATTGTCTCTCTGGCATGAAGAAAAGTCCAAAGGCCCTTTCAAGCAAAAATAATCAATAAACTCTGCCTTCCAGTGTACTGAAGATGGCGGAACAGCATGGAAGTTTTTTGTGTGTCTCACGTCCATGAAATACAGCCAGACCAACACTAAACCATCCTACACACCTAGGAAACTGATTGGAGGATTAACACAACAATCTGCACAACCTGAACCACAGAATTCAGTAGGTACGTGGTACAGAGAGGTGAACTTGGGGAGCGAGAAGGCGCAGGAAGGGAGGTGCTTTTGAAAGCGGGGAGAGAATGGAGGCTGGAGGCAGGGGGGGTAGGATATGGGAAAAGCACCCCTCCCCAAAAGCAGCTGGAGAGAAAGTGGAAAATTGGAAACAGCCGCAGGGACTAAACTAAAAAGGGAGAAAAGAGAAAGGAGAGGGTTTAAATTCCATTAAGACTGTAAACAAGGGGAGCACAAAGTCTGCAACTCCGCAGCTCCATACCTGGCGGTGCCTGGTGGGAACGGCGAATCCCCAGGAACAGAGTGGGGTCTGGGAGGTTCTCTGGCCACATGGGAAAAAGTGGTTCCACTGCTGGAAGGACATTTGGCAGAGACTATTGAAGCCACCTGGTCCCAACAGACCCCAGAAAACGGCCACATTCGCTGGTGCTGG